CTCAAAGAAAAGCCTTCTTTCTTTTACATCCACCCATTCGAAGCTTGTCAAGCGAAGCATTGCTTTTTCCGGCCTAAAGGCATCTCTAACTTGCTCTTGTCACCACCAGATAAAATGCAGGTTTTCCTAATCGCCTGCTAACTTCTGTTGCCGAGACTCTTCTAGAATACCGTATTTACTCGCATAATGAACGCACTTCTTTCTTTAAAAATTGGAGCAAAGTTGGTGGTGCGCTTATTATATGGAGCAAGTTTAATTAAAAATTTTTCATGATGAGCAAAAATGCGGTACAGCAAAAAAAAAAGTTAGGTCCCTTAGCCTTTCGTAATTGACATACGTGTATAGTGTTTCAGGAAGCTTCTTTGTTGCACATCACTCATCTTCAATTTGGTGCATGGTTGATGACACCATCTTCTGCAAGCTGTCCCTGCGCCGCCCGTGCATGGCATAAAAGCATTTTGCGACTATCTTTTCTCACAGTCGTTGAACCGCAACAGTGTTATCCGCTAGGATCTCGAAAAACGCCCAGAAGCGTGCTCTACGATGCACTTTGGCAACTTCACTGCAACCTCGCACAACGACTGCTACGCCGCCATTGACATTGTAGCAAGTTACCAGTATTGCAGCAAGCTACCACTGAAGCATCAAAGCGAACCGTTGATACAAGATTAACGACAGAATACGGCTGCCGCCTCGCTGTCCACATGAGAAGTTGCTGTAGAAAAAATAGACGATGTCTTGCATTCCTTGAACTACACGTAGATAACAAGCACGAAGAGAAAATTGCAAACCGAACCAAGAATTGGGGGGGGCTACCATGTTACGGAGTTCGTCACGATCCTTTCTGGTGGACAAGTGACTTTCCCCTGGTTTTCCAGAAACCTGTGACGTGATGGCGATGAATAGCCCTTTGTGACAGCCATGGCGACAGGAAATCCTGTCATCGCGGCTTGAAAATTGTGTGCATGTGGTTGGGCCTTGAAGTTTTGTATTTGCAGAAAGCGACCGTCAGTTGGTGCGGGCAGTTTCATAACGTTCGCTCGCTGTGTGCTTATCAGCTGCAATGTCTCTGCACTTGCACCGTTCTAAACCTGGCTGTGGTGCATAGATAATTACGTATAAAAAAGCTGGGCACATGCCGTGCATAGATAGAAAGAAAAACAATACGGCGCGCAGGAGGCAGAGGTGGGGAGGGAACGAGCTGAGGTGGCCAAAGGGGGTCAGCTTAATAATAATAAAAAAAAGGAAGAGATCCAGCAGGCAAGGAGGTGCCATTTGTCGGTTAGCGAGACTGCAGTGGATGATGGTAGAGGGCGCGTCTATTACGCGGGGAAAACAATCCAAATTTTGACGACTGAAATTGGTGGTGCATTTATTACGTAAGTAAATACGGTTTATGCTAGAAATTTAAGTATGGCAACTTTCTATTGTAGACTTTTGTATTTCTAATTAATATTTCTCTTCCTATGTTGCATGCTTCATCTACATAAGAGAGTAGAAGCTATTGCAAAGGCTGTGATATTTTTAGTATTCTAATGTACTTCATAAATTCTTTTGAAAATGGAGATAATACAATGAAATGTACATATTTTCCTTACGAAAAAATTGTGTATTTTTCGTGCTAAAGTTTTTTTCAGAAAAATTTTGGCTAAGTAATTTGCCTACTACTGGCAAAAACTTTTTTTTAGGGGCGAAGCTCCTTAGGGCGTGGGCTGTGCGTCCCCTGTAGCCTGTATGTAGCCACCTCTAGTTTAGTTCTTGCAGTGTTCACTAGATTGCGGTATCGTCCCCTGTATGTAGCCACCTCTAGTTTAGTTCTTGCAGTGTTCACTAGATGGCGGTACCGTCTCCTGTATGTAGCCACCTCTCGTTTAGTTCTTGTAGTGTTTACTAGATGGTGGTACTTGTAGCTGATGATGAAAAGATGCAAGATGTTATAAACTAGAAAGCGGTACTTGTAGTTTATGAAAGACGCGAGATCTTATAAAATAGGAATGATGTCACATATGGCGCGTGTCATTGGTTGAAGGCAATCGTTCGATTTAGTGCGGCGACGTACGCTAGGGGGAGCGTTGTAATAAAATCCGTTCGCTGTTGGCGCGCGCTCGGAGTCGCCAGATGGATAAGGCTGCACAGCAGAGAGAGCGCAAGGCGGCAGCAGCGCGCGCTCGCAGACAGAATCCCGATATGCGAGCGCGCGAGGCAAGGGACATCGCAAGCCATCTATCGTCTAAGAACAAATAAAAGTTGATTTGTGTATATACACACACAGCGTTCCTCACGTCTTTACATGATGATCGACTGGGCGAATTACACGGAAGATTCACAGTTTACCGATGAATCCCTCCGGAGCTTCGCCCATTCATCATCATTCACCCCGTGAATATGCCGTAATTTTTTAATTCAGCCAGCTCTACATCATGAGCACTGTCAAAATAGTGAAGCTTATGCCCATCCTTGAGCAGGCTATATCATACTTCTATATTTTTGGAATGTTTTGTTCACTTGCTCTCAGCTTCTGCCTCTCTTGCGTAGACATCCTGGTTGGCTCGGGGACGACATTAGCAACAACTCAGGCACACGTCGATTGGTTTCTTCATCAGTAGAATGAGAAATGTTCATCTTGTAAGCTCAAACTCATGAACACTGACACGCTATTTTACACTCCACTGCATCTCACCTTGGCCCCATCTAGTTTGTTTCTCAAAGGTTCACCTTTCGATATTTTTCATCGCAGCACACACAGCCCTCCTCTTCCTACCAAGGCTCACTCTCATCACAGTAGAATGATCAGCGCCACTTGACATGAAAAGCTCAACTAAGAACAGCTTTGTGGTAAAAAAGGTCCAGCAGAGTCATCTTCTAGTGACCAGCACTGCAGTGCAAGATGGCATTATTCTGTCCACTCCAGTGGGATGTCCTGGTGGGCTCGTTGGTTTATCGCTGTTAAGACGTCCTTAAACTTAACGAAATGACCAGGATGTCAGCAAGAAAATGCATAAAAAAACAGTGTGCTTGTGGTGTTCCATGACTTATTTCCAGGTCATTTCGTGTAGCTTAAAGGGACCCTGAAGTTTTTTAAAGTTTTGTCAGTGTGTAGGTTAGAGCATCATCAAACCATTTGCACCACAGCTGTAGCGACATGCTGTGTCCCAAGGCTACGGACAATTAAGTCATACTCTCCTTCTCACCTCTTTTTTGCCTCCTCAACTCACTGGGGCACGCTGGCAACGCTGTCGATGGCAGAGTTTCATGAGCGCACTGGACGATTTGAGCATCAGCCCACTCTAGACCTCCGAGATTGTACGCCAATAGGTTGCGTTCAATTACGGAGGCCGTCACGCAGTGTGCCCGGCAGCACGCGCGCCGTTCGGCAGCAGAGACAAAGATCACAGAGTGGTTGATATCTGCTCCGACAGGTGATACCACCGTACCAGCTTATTTCCACGCATTTTACCTCCAATCATATCAGCAACCTCGGTGACGGGCCTGGTAGCATGTTATTCAAACACATAGTAACACATTTGGTTGGGTTGCAGTGATCTACAGAGACTTGCAGTTTAAAAAATTGTAATAAGTTACACCATTTACTCAGAGAGCTCAAATCGGTATGTAAATGACCCTTAGGACTTGAATTGGTATAGCGCATTACAGTAAAGAAGTGACCGAGCATACTGACACAAGACAACAGAACTTTATTGGCTTTGTTCACAGAGCTTCGTTGGCTTTCTCTGAACATGAAGTGTCCTTCCTTAATCAAGCGAACTGTCTATGAATCTTTGTTATGCGACATAGCGATGCGAGTCTAATCATGGTGATACGTTTGGGTGTTCTTTGTATGCTTATGCAAGTGTACATATTTCATGCATTTCGCGAATGAAGATTAGTTGTGAGTTAGCACTATGTCCTCTTCTATAAGTCTGCTCGACCATATCTTTTTTACCGTTATGCACTGTGGCTGTTCAAGTACGACAGACCAATTTGCCCAATTTAGAAGACTTGGTCTACCGGCCCAATGTGTTTTTACGAAATAGTCAAAATTATTTTAGGGTCTTTTTAAGAATGTCTGTGTACTCTAATCTGGTCCACTTGAGGTTCCAGCAGAAGTATGAGAAAGATTTATTTGCAAGAAAATTAAGAAAAACAGGTCGTGCTAAGAAAAGCAGGTCGTGCTGATCCCCTTGGTCACTGCACTGCTCCGCTACCTACAGCCTGGTTGGCGTCCCATCAGAATCGTAATTACCAGCTGTATTTTGGCCTAGAAAACTTGAGTGCCGTGCGGAAGTGGTCTGGTGTGCTTTGTCTACAATGATGGAAACCTGCCTTAAGGGTACTGACACCATTTTTCAAAGCTGCGTCTACTGTGCCATCTCCTGTGCACCTAGACGGCTCTGAGTGAGTGGTGTGGTTAGATTTGAGTGCACGTTAAAGAACCCCGGGTGGTCATAATTTCCGGAGCCCTCCACTACGGCGTCTTTCATAATTATATCATGGTTTTGGGATGGTAAACCCCACATATCAATCAATCAATCTGAGAGAGTGTGAAGCTCAGCAAATGCTGGTAAGATATATTATTTTGAAATTAAATTAAGTTTTCCTTGGCACACTCGCCGACATCAACACTGGCTTGACGTAAGGCTATGGTACTACTTTTGGTGACTTCACGCTGCAGCCTGGCTAGTTTTAATAATGTGAAGTACCAAAACTTCCAAAATTGATGCTTGTGCATCAGCAGCAGTGCAGAGTGGCTGGGTAAACGTCACAATATCTTGCACAAGCATGTGACAAGAAGCTCATACCATACTGTGACTTCAGGGTGTATTCGGAACCAAAACTACTACTTACTACTGTATTGACTTTTTTGGGGTGTACTCATGCTTATGTTTTATAGGCTCTTGAGGGCTTGCCCCTCCAAGAAAACTGAAAAAATATATATATATATTTCGTGTCGGTACACCATCACGAGTTTGACATCTTTCGACTTCACCATCTCTCCCGGCATGCTTCTGAAGCTCATGGGGGAACCTCTGTGTGGTGGGTTCATGTGCTGTGCAGCGATCCCCCCAACAAGTGTACTTGCCACTGAAATGCATGAAAACTTCATGCTTTGTCTGATATGAATTAGCTGGCCCCAGCTGCACGGGCATTGCGTTCCAAGTAAGCTGTGGTCTGATATTCTCGAGTGTCTTTTTGGGTGGGACAATAAGTCCTAGAAAAGATTGATGATAGTTTACAGTGCTCCCGGTAAATTCGGTGGGTGGTGCACGACAGCCTCGACATTGCCTAAGCCACTCCTTATTGAAAGGCAGGCAATCGCACCCCAAGTTTTTCTTATTTCATGTGTTATTTAATTGCAAACATGTAGATACTGTGCCATAGAAAACTGATTCGTTTTGTTTGAAAAACACTGTTTGTCATATTTTTTTTCAGGCTATTCAACTTTACTTAGACATAACTTGAGGCAAAGGCCATTTCTTCTGTAGCTTAATTTTTGCCTTCACTGTTTTGCATGCAGAGTATGTTTATTATATTTTAAAGTTGAACTCTATCTTTCTTGTATTCTGATACAAGCTATGTAAAAGCATTGTAAGTACCAAACACACTGTACTACAACATACATTTTCAGGCCAAGCAGGTGTTCTTATAAAGTTATGGTGTCAGTTGTGTGTTTGAGTGCTCACAATAAACATGTTTTAATGCATCGTCCCTTATAATGCACAATACCATACTTTATATTACACAAAATGGAATGTTTATTTTCATTCTCATGTCCAAGTGTGTGTTGTTTATATAGTAGCACTCTGTACATTCTATTAGTTACATGATCAGTCCTTAAATGAGCACTGACACAATAGTTCGAAGATAAGATAATGAGTGAGATGGATTTATCTAGAGGCATACACAATATCCATGAAATATCAAGGGCAAATATAGCCTAGAACATATTTAAACATTGGGGGACCCTTGAGCTTCGCCTTTAAGAGTTGAACGAGATAGTGAAATCCGTCTCCTAGTGCACCCTTCAACTGCTAAGTGCATACTTATTCATATGTTTTGTTGCATACACTTGTACGCACACAGTAAACTGGACCAGCGCGCGCTACTTTCGCCAAATGGGCTTGTTTTTATCGTTACTCCTGTCGTACAAAATGCACTAAAGGGCCCTGAAACACTTTTTTATGTAGCCATGGAATGAATTCACTACAAGCGCTTATTGCCTCATGAATTCAATGCCGCAAATCCTATAAGAATCCATCCAGTGCGAGTGGAGTTGCAAAGGTTTATCGCATGCTGCAATTGCGTTATCTCTTCTTTCATCCGACAAGAGCGCTAGAAGCTAAGCAGGGAGAGGTGGCAGGGCAAAGACTCTACCGCGTCTCGTGACCTTGAGCACTTTTTTTTTCTTGGAATGCGCGGCTTCAATCTGGTCGCGCGGTACACATGTGGACAAGTAGCGGCCTCCCACGGCTATCTCGGTAACTTGATTTTTCGGTCACAGATGCACAGACGATTTTTCACTTACAACCAACGGGGCTGACGCTGGCGACGGGTTTTCTGCGACACGAGCTCTTTAACGCTATCGCGTTAAAATCAATTTTAAAGTACACGCTCCGTGACTGAGCGAGGTGCGGAGCCCCTCGCCATGCCGGCATCAACATGGCAGGAGTGTAAACAAACCTATGTCACGAGTTTGTGTTGGCTGGCCTTGAACTAGCTGGGATTTTTTCCTCTGTGGCTTTGCGTTTGCTGGCCATGCTAGCTGTCAGTGGGGCGCCACCCACGTGGCCAGCCGTGCTTACCGAAACCGCTCCTTGCCCAGCTCGGTGCTCTTTGATGTCGCCCTGAAAACGTCACTAATAAATAACCATTGCACACACGTGCAAATGATGTTACCAGTCATGATAAGTGGGTCATAATCTGCATATTGCATCAAAGTGCAAAATTTTTGTGTCAGTGCTTCTTTAAGTAACAGTGGTTGGTGTTTGTCATGGGTCAGTTAATTTAAGCTGTTATTTTTACATGTGTTTATATACTGTATTGAATATTTCTGGTGCTTATTTAAAGGTCCCCTGACACCAAACGTGGAAACTTGAGATGCTTGTGTTCTTTAATAGTCCTGCATGGTGGGCCACTTCTGACCGATTATCAGTGATGAGCGTTGCCACTAAGCTATTTTAATTTGGCCTTGAAGTAAGGGTGCATGTTCATCAGAGTATTCAGGTCCAATCGGCATTTCCTGTGGTTTGACGTACAGTAGCCCCCTTGTAATGCTTCTGAGGTCAGCAAGTACTGTCGGCGTCGGAGAAAATCTGCGGGGTGCGGACAAAACCCCGACTGGCACCTGGCAAAGACTATTGTTTGTGACCCCTCGTGCTCTGTTGTTAGCTGCTGTGAAGGTGGTTTTGGGTGCTTATGCCAGGAATCCTTTTCTTTTAGTGAGGGGGACGCATTCAAAGCACCCACATCATTTCATTCTTCACCAACCACGAGTCCCCCTATTTTAAAACGGCTCCTTCAGTGTCACCAAAGCCTAAGCGCACATAGTCTCGGGCGCTGCCCTGCTGTGTCGTGCTAGTTTCTTACAGTACTTAGGTGGGCATTTCATACTGATGGAAGCTTACTCTGAATTAAAGATGCTAGCATTAGTTATAAGATGTGTTACAGTATTTACGATTCAATTTTGTCATGACCAGGTGCAAAGCTAAAAATTGCTGTAAAACAGTGACAAACAAAGCTTTTGCTGTCAGGGGTTCTTTAAGCTGTTTCTTCACTTTCATATCATGTTACATTTTGTCTAAAAGCGTATTACAAGTTAGCATGTGTATTTTATTACATTTACTGTGTTGCATTACAGTGCATGTGGCAACAGGAGAAGCTGTCAAGTTGATTTGACTGTTCTGTGTGTGACACAGTCATACTGCATACTGTATCACCCTGTGCTTTCTTTATGTTTGAGTGCATTGGTCCCTCTGTATTTGATCCCAAGGATATGAGGTTGTGCTATAAGATAATTTTTTATGATGCCTATAGCAGCTACCTAAAGATATTAATGTTATGTAAGGCTGTAGTGTCGCTCTCTTTGTCGTGTTGGTTTTGACTTAGAATTACATGCTGAATAATATCCGTCAGTAAGGCCATGGACAAAGCGTTCATGTAATACAACTGACATTAGCCGAAACTAAGAATTCTACAAACCTGCATCTAAGGCAGGCTTTGCAATGATCTATTTCATAGCCCTGTGTGAACTAGAATGTGCCTCCCTCTTCTTGTGGGTTTTAATATATGCTGTGATGCTGTCAAGTTACAGCCTAAACTGTACTGAGCTACCCTTGCAAAAAGCAGCAGTTAGAATCTACGAAGATGTTAGCATGTTGCCCCTTTCTTCAATTGCTTCATTTTCATCAGGAACAGAGGCTCCAGTGAAGCACATAATTGCTGGCTTCGCACAGCTCACATTTAGAGTGATGTTGTTTAAAAAATTATTTCATTTTATTTTGTCTATAAGCTGGTCTGCAGGGGTTGTGTTCTGAGTGATCTTTTGGCATAGAGGCCTCGCAAGATTATAGTTTTCCAAAATCTTTCTTGACATCATTGTAGTTTTATCACACTACTATGCAAGTTGGTGTAATTAAGGTAAAGTCCTTGCTTAATTGTTAATGCTGAGCATTCTCAAAGAGGCACATTGGCTTGCCTTCTTACTAGTATATTGAACACATTAGTGTATTTGTGTGCACATCTTGGCTAGGTTCTGTGTTTTTATGTATCATGTGACCCTCTACCTTGATAATTGTATTAAGTCAAGGTGCCTTAGGGCACCCCAAATATGCTTCCATGTACTCATTTTTCATGCTTGCTTTGTGTCGTGTAATTGAAGAATATAGCAATATATGTTAAACAAAAAGTGGTTATGGGGATATGATAAATTATTTAACATATTGGTGATCTTTATGATGTATACTTATTATTCTTAGAAACTGTAGAAGTGCCGCTACTATTGTCTTGTAACACTAGCATGCTTAGTGATGTAATACAGCATTTTGATACCTCACTTGTGCCACCATGACTGTCTCATTTCATATGATGGGAAAAGTTCCCATGGTGTGCCTCTTGCCTTTTATTGTGCCATGCAGTTAGCAATTTGCATAGATTCTCTGCCTTCTCTCTCTTACTATGCTGGTTAATGCAAACTGCCTGCATTGGCTCACCTCCAATCAGGGCTTCGACAGCAAACCGTGGCCTAATGAAACTTGGAGGAGGAAAAAAAACAAATATGATGTAGAAGTAAACATAGTAGCATTTCAGAAAAGTTGTGTGTCAGTGTCTTCTCTAAGCTTAAACCTGGCCTCACTTGAACTCGGTCTGTCTGTCACAATTCTGTGGAAGCATTCCCATTCTCACAACTTCTTGAAGCCACTACAGAATTAAGTACAGGGTTGATCAGACTGCTTCATTTGAGCTCGCACGCTACCACATTGCATGAAATCATTGTTACGTACAAGAGTGTATAAGTGCAACATATGTAGAGCAGTTTGTTGTAGGTTTTGGCAACTGTTGATTCAACATATCCTGAAAACTGACTGAAAAATTGGATTCGTAAAAGACACTGGTTTAGTGGAATTTCTGGGAGTGTGCAGGATAGGAGTTTCCCAAGTGTGTGTTTTTTAATATATATACATGCATGCACACACAGCAAAAACTTATTTATTCTACCCTCATTAATAAAAAAATATCATAATTCAAATATATTTTATGGTGTCAGCCAGCTCCCACATTGTTTAATGGCACCCAATTCTCGTTAATTTTGCCACAACCGGGTTCATTGGAACAATCCACCAAGCGTGCCAAGCAAAAGTGCTGAAACGGCACTCACACAGCACTGTCTCTCCTCACCCACTTGCAGCACAGCAGCTTCACTTGGTGCAATGAGGCACAATATCAACACAGAAGAAGCTACTGAAAACAAATATCTTTTCGCTGCAGTCAGTATGCTGGCATAAAACACGTTTGATACATTACTATGGAGTTGCCAGTCATTATAGCTGCAAAGAAACTATCGTCAGATGCGCATGGTGGTACGTAATCAGCGATGTTTGCAAAGCACATTCGAGGCTAATTTAACACCGGAGTCTTGTGTTCTCGTCGCATTGAAAATAATGTTGCAGCATGTGTCCTGCTCTTACACAAAATGACTATAGGAGTTGTCTACTGCTCCTCAAAGAGCTGAAAGTGTGTTGGGGTAGCAGATGCTTGCTTATTTTTGTTTTTTCTTTGCAATCTTTCGATAATTCGATGTTGGTTAAATTTGGACATTATACATGCGTCAGAGTGAAACTTTTTTATTCCCTATTGCATTATTCACCCTTTCTAGCTGGACAGATTTCCAGTTCGATAGTACAGCTCTATAACACTATAATTAATTTCATTTATTTACTACTTCACAGAGCCGAGGGATTGGGAAGAAAAAACTCAGCAGAGTTTAACTAGGCCTCTCAGCCTGTTACAATTGAGCATCACACAGTCAGCGTACACGCTGTTCATTAAAAATATACAAAAAACAATGAAAACATTCATCACACAGGGGTAGAAGTGCTGCACCAATTGCGTCATACTGCGCCAATTTGACCTGCTGTGCCAGGCTGTGCATAAATGGCAATTTTCGTGATAATTGTCGATCGTAAATGTAAACTGCCCAACCCAGCCGATTATTATCATTGAGCGAGCAACACTGAGCGTTTGCTCAGTCCTTGGGCGCATCCACATCCACTGGATCTAGATGCAGTGAAGGATGCAGCCGCATCCACATCCACTAAAGTTTGATCTGTTGTAAAGCGGTACTTCGTGGGGCTCACAATGCTGTTATCGCCGTAGTTTCCCCGCAAAAGTGGTGGCACCAACATGTGTAATTGTTGATTATTTAATAATACAGTGAAACTTCGATGATTTGTACCAGCCGGGGATGTTGTGTGATCATGCACTACACGACAGTGCGTGTTTGCAAATGCAAATGTGCATCTTCTGACATGCCCCATTGAGACCATTAAACAAATACAGCAACACAGCAGATGTCGCCCAATGTACCTACTAGAAAGTTTTCCTTTTTTGTCACAGTACGGGAAAGATCATCTGTTGCTGGCACTCGTATGATTTTTTTTTATTATCAGGCACAGTGGCGACGCCAAGGAGCATTTCGAATATATTGGTCCGGGATATGCAGTGGCTGAAATAGCGACAAACGGACACCGTCGGTTTTCCACGATATATTGTGTGCTTCTTTATCACGATATGATACTTTGTAATGACTGACACTTTCATTGAGAAGGAGTGGTCGTGTGGACTCTGATCATCTCCTGGTTAAATGTGTGCAGCACGGCGCCTATGCTGCCTACACCGTTGCTGTCAGGTGGCTCGCTGTACCATGCGCGGATTTGCTGTGTGATTTTCTCATCCCCATTTTGTTCCAGACTGAGCACAGATGAGAAGAGTAGTGTTTAATTAGCATCAGGATAACAAATTTCTGCCAAGAGAAGTGCACCGCATTATCTATACTGCGTTTCACACATCAACGCTGCAGATCCGAGGGAGACTCCTTGTAGTAGATAAGTTTGCGCAAAGAATTAGTTTCGTGTTTTTAAGATCTAGAACATATTTTTCTTTTAGTTTCAGGCTGAGTATGAAATGGGCATGTTTTATATCTCTCTCTCACTTGCACGCACGTGTGGTAAGTCTGGTAAACTCATTGGTACTAAAGGTTTAGTAAATACCATTGGAGTTGCTTTTTCCAGAAATAATTTTGATTGACAATTATGTTTGACCCTAGACAGCTGCTCCAAAACTTACTCACGTTGCTTAAAAACGTACCTTTTGGTGCTCGAATGTGCGCCAAAACTCCCTTTTTACTGGGCCAAAGCTGCTCCAAAACACTGAAGTTCACTCCCACCCCTGATTGCATACAGATAGTCGTCAACATTTGAAACAAAATACTTTATGAAGGCCATTCCGCATTCAAAAGTGCAGATATCGGCTCAGATCTACAACATACATCATTTTCAACATCATTTCCTGCTAAGACATTTAGAAAAGGAGGTAACGTAATTCTTAACACTTGGGCACTGTAATTTTTGTGTGAGGACAAAACCTCAAATATTTTCATTATTTGCAACGAGTACATACAAATGCATTTGGCTAGTCGTGCTATTTCGTTAAGCATTGATTTTTTTTTTTTTCATTTTATATTTATACCAGAGAAGTAGGTGCAATTTATACAGAACTGTGCAGTAGGATTATCTCTGCATAAAGCGTATATTTAAAACTTAAGGCTTTCTTTCGCTGTAGACTAATCTTTGCTGAATGTGTGAATGTGGTGGTACCCCGTACACTCTTATAATAATTAACCTGTGTCATAAACAGAGATTAGAAAACAGTTTGTTTTTGGTAGGAAGGACATGATTACTCTGGTATAAAAGACCACTAAAGTGTGAGGCAGCTAAGCATGCATGATTAACATAGATGTCGCACTGCAACTTTTTATTAAGCCAAACACCAAGGGTTTTCAAAGCTTGCTCAATTTAAATGCTTTTGGATCCATAGCTTAAAGATCGAGGGCACAATACAGCTGTACGTCTGAGACGAAAAATCATCGCTGTTGTCGGAGTCGCATTTATTTGCCAAGCATTCAAGTTTGACCATCCCTCTAGCATGCAGAGCAGTTTGTTAGTATTTCCCAGTAATTTATTTTGCATCTACACCGCCAAAGAAAACACTCGAAGTTGATGAATATCCAGCTAGAATATGGCCCGACTCCGGCAGGAAACTCGTCAAGTTTCAGTTAGATGCTTAACCATTTCGAAGCGGATTATCAAAGCACAAATCGTTTTCAGGTAGAAGCACTTCTGTTTCAATAACTCAGCTGTAAATGAAGCTTTTCATTTGGGACACAAGACTATAAAAGAAAGAGGACACAACACTATTCAATGGCATTTGTTTCATTATGATGCTCTAACAGTGCAAAATGTGGAAAAATGTGGGAAAAAAGGCACTGACCTCTCTTTATTCCACATTTTTCTCTAATCACATACGTGCTGTGCATGCCACCATAATGCCCCGTTTAAAAGCCCATAGACAGACAGGGGTGGCCTTAGTAGCCCGGGCTCCCCCGAAATTCCGATGGAGGAGGGTGTTTTACTGAGCAAAATAATATAATCAGTATAGGCATTTTTCAAGGATCTGCAACAAATGTACTCACCCACCCCCCTCTCAAGAACGTTTTCTAGCGACGGGTCAGTGCTATGTCCAACTCATCTGCGTTATGCAGCATGTGTTTGCTACCTAAATATCCAAAAGAACGGTGTGACTCAACTCTGCCAGAGATGTAACTTTTGCATTTGGGTGTTATGGTGGGTGAACGTTTTTTCACTAATCAAACATTTAATTCATAGCTCGCTCTGCCTGAAAGTGATATGGTATTTACTTAACATGTTATTTGCAGCGTATAACATGAAACATGGTGACAAGGAAAAAGGACAGATGGGTGCCAACCAAGTTGATCTTTCCTGGGTTCATGTATCAAGCTTTGTACCGCAATCAACATGTTTAGTAAGCTTATGCACCAACTCACCTAGGAAAATGTTCTTCTATTAGGGTAACATTGTGACTTTCTTAATAGTGATATTTTCGAAAAGTGTGGTACATTGGTGTGTCCTGCAGGTTCTCCTCCAGCCCTGATGACAATTCCAGCTCGGCGCCAGTTCCGGTGTGGCCAGTGCTCCTTCACCACGGTGTACAAGTGCAGCCTCATTGTGCACCAGCGTACCCACACGGGCGAGCGCCCTTTCCAGTGCCGCCTGTGCGCCCGCACTTTCGCGCACAAGTGCAACCTCAAGAGCCACTTGCGGACGCACACGGGAGAACGGCCCTACCAGTGTCCCATGTGCCCACATAACTTCACCCAGCACGGTGCACTCACTGCGCACCTGCACGCACACCATGGTGGTGCCACCACCTTGATGCCATCCATTCAGCGATGCACGCTTTGTCTCAGTTTGTTCAACTCACCCAAAGAGCTCAGGGCACACATGCATGCAGTACACCCCTAAACCTTCCTGGATCTCAGTGAAAGGTTCTTCAGTACTTTTACTGTAATGAAACTTCAGTGCGATAGCTTCTAACCTTCGCCAGCAGAAGGGAACGCTGAAGTCCCTTCAGCTTATGCAGCGGCTAAGTCCACGGCTTGTTCCTACTAGTTGTGTGTCCCAAAAAGAAAACAAGATGAGATGTAGCATGGTGATCTGACATTTTGGAACCGGAAACAGTTTTCTTGTTCACTGAGCTGAACCAAACGTCGTGGTCAATTATGAAGCCGGTAGGTGACGCAACAAGCATGCGTAAATAGCAGGCATTGTCCCAGATATCTAATTCATTGTAGCTGGCATTTACTAGATGATCAGAGATTCTAGGAGCTGGAGGGATGAGATGTTCTTTTTCTTGGCGATGACAGTGACATTGTCCCAGTTAATGATGTGATTATGTCCATGTGCATGCTCAGCAATGGAATTGCTTGTGTAACTATTAGTAGTGTTGTCATGTTAGTGCTCCTGTTTCACCAATGTACACGTAACGGCAGTCTTATTCATGACTCCTAAAAATGACTCACTCAGCAACCTTTCTTTCACATTAACAAGCTGGTTCTGTAGCTTGTTGGTACGCATGTGCGCATCGCACAAATGATATTTTGAAAATATGCGTGAAATAGCCTCACTGATTTTTTTCACGTGAGGTATGGCCACACATGCACAGGTTGTCGCATTGCTTTGTGAGCTTGGCTGTAGCATCTGCTTCTCAGCTTTAGGGATGGAATGATCAGGATAGTCATTGTGGCTGAGCTCCCGATGGAACGTCCGTAATTTGTTTCTTAAATGTATCATTATCTGAGCATACCCATACAGCACATGTTACCAAGGATAAGACCATGGATGTCTTGTGGCCAACGGGAGGGTGGGAATTAAAACTGAGATAATGGCTTGTGTGGGTGGGTTTTTTTATTTACAAAGAAAGTTAGGGTACTCCCATCCTGGCGAACCTCTACGTTCAAAAAAAGACATGTTGTCTTTGTGTGCAATGGTAAATTGATAGTTTGCATTCTGGGCATCCAGGCAGCCCAAAAATTGCTAAATGTTTTGCTCCTTCAAAATAAAGAAGCAGTCATTGATGTACCTGTAAAACACTTAATGCCAGAGTGAAGGTTACTTGGACCTTTCCTTCCAAGGCTTCCATTACCACATTAGCTGTGGTGACTGATAATGATGCTTCCATTGCCTGTAACGCGCACTTGCTGATGAAAGAAGGTATTGCGTGAAAAATATGTGTTGCTGAGTCAAAATCGCAGCAGCTCACCAAAATCGGGAGTGTCAATGATGGTGTGATCAGAAAGACCACTGCCTGCTTTTAGGGCTTGTTTGCATGTGGTTACTGTCAAGTCCAGTGGAAACTCGCAAGAAGTGAGGTGACGTGACGTCGAATGAGACCATAGTGTCGTCCCCACTCAGTGTGAGGTCTTTTACCTTTTAAGCGAATGCAGACGAATTCTTGATGTGCATTGAGGTCCTGCCAGCTAGACAACTCATCATTTCGTGAAGGTAGCCTTAGTCGGTAGAGCAGTGATTTGGTCAAGTCGACAACAGACAAAGTGGAACGCCAGGCTTGTGGACTGTAGGAAGGCCATACATTACCGGGGCTGAAGCATTCGTGCAGAGCAGATGGTAGTAAAGTTGAATTTGGTGCGAAGGAACCAGTTTGGGCAACCTGGACAGCAACTTTTGCAGCTTAGTCGCAGCCTGCTTATAGGGTCATAAGCTATGGCAGCGTACTTGTGATGGTCTCTGAGTAGGGTCAGCATTTTCTCATGGTAGTTGTCCTTGACCAACAAGACCTGTAGCATTTTCTTTTTCAGAGTCCTCTAGCGAGCAAGACCTTATCGCTTGTTTAGAATTTTTTCCCATTTGTTCTAAAGGTAAAGGACATCACACTGAGTGAAGACGACACTGTGGTGTTGTTCTACGTCACGTCACTTTTACAGCGAAAGCTGTCATGAGATCACACCTAGGATCATTTTATGTGCCATAGTTGTCTGCCACCGCTGGTGTCTATAACCACTATAGAAATTAGTAAAAAAAAAACTAAAATAATACCATAAAAAACACAATGAAATTAGAACCTGAGTCTCCTGCGTGTTAGCCCAGTGTTCTACTATTGAGCCACACCGATGCTTGAATTTCCGTTGCAAACTGGCTCTAAACAGGCTTCATGTCAAAAAAGTAATTTGATTAATGTGATTACTACAGCGTTTTAGAGCAGCAAAGAAAGAACCAGGCATCATGCAGTGTGAATTGTGTTACGGGTAGGTAGTCAAATGCACCAAACCACAACAAAAAACTCAAGCATAATTCTTCATCATTGTCAGCTGCAGCATTGAAAAATTGCACAAAATTTCTTGCAAGTGTGCAGCAGGTACCATGCTTCTCCGGGAAAAGACGAAAAAAATATCAAACTGAATGCCTCTACTACGCAAAATCCTGATGAACACGTGCTGCATGAATCTACTAAGATAATGATACACTTAAGAATAAATTAGGAACGATACATCGGGAGCTAAGCCGCAACGGCTATCCTTATCATTTCATCCCTAAAGCTGAAAAGTGTATGCTACCGCCAAGCTCACAGAGCAACGCAGCAGCCTGTGAACATGCGGCCATCCCTTATGTTGAAGGAATCAGCGAGGCTATTTCACATGTACGGTATTTTCAAAATATTATTTGCGCAATGCGCAAGTACGTACCTACCAGCTTCGGATCCAGCTTTTTATTGTGAAAGACAGGCGACTGAGTGAGTCATCTCCAGGAGTCGTCTATAAGATAGTGTGCTGACTGCCGTCATGTGTACGTTGGTACTAACATTACGTCACTAATAACAGCCGCATAGGAAACGTTTCTGAGCATGCACATGAACATAACCACAAGGATAATGCTACTGTCATCGCCAAGTAAAAAAACACATCATTGCGCCGGTTTCTCGAATTTCTAATCATCCAGTCATTGCCAGCTACAATGAATAAGATAACTGGGACTATGCCTCCTATCTACGTACGCTCATTGCATCACCTACTGGCTTCATAATTGACATCGACTTCTAGTCCAGCTCAATTAACAAGGAACACGTATACATTTTCCGAAACATCAGGTCATCGTCAGACTTGGTCAGTGATCTTGTTTCATCTTATCCAATGCCTGACCATTTCGTCGAGTTCTTGACATTGTTCATTAGCTGAACTGGAATTAGTCGAAATGACTTAACTTCGGTGTGCTGTGTAGCCGATCACTTCAGTGAAGGCATTACGTGTTCAACGGATCATTTGACATGCCACATTAGAGAAGTCTTTTCTTGAAATGAATGCAACCGATATTACACTCAATCGTAGCCTATGATTTCAGTCTTTTTATGTCAAAACGAGATATGTCTGACTGCATAATAATGTATTTAACCACATGCTAATTACTAATAACTGGTGCAACTGGCTCAAAGCACCACATTACTTAATTCTTTTTCTTTGGTTGTATTATTGAGTGCCTTGGAATTGTGTCATGTGAATTAGACACATTCGTCAGCAGTGCGTCTTAATTCGTGCATGAATTTACATCTACAGACCTCACCAAATATCCCAGTCATTCTGGCGACCAGTATATTAAAAAAAATTGTGCTTACTTATTGCATTGTAAACAGTGAGTGGCTAGAATATTTTGAGAAAAAACATGTTTGGTCTCGTGAGAGCCTTCCAAATTTCACAGAACATTGTTTCTGTATTGTTTATCAGAAAATGTATCCTGAATGTATTGTGTTTCTCTTTTAATACCAAGGTTTGTTTACAAATTGAACAAATGCATTTGTGTAAGGTTTTCAAAGTTCAATAATACGGCAATTTTGCTACCTAACGTGCCTCCAGGAATTTTGTCAAAATTTTCTGTTTGCATTTTTCTCTTCTAAAAGCACACTATCTATTAATATTTGAGTAATGAATACCTATGCTACTGAAAGTGTACTTTACATTAAAGATACTTTCAGACCAGCGAAGTAAAGAAACTGATAACTAATTTTATGGTGTTATATATATATATATATATATATATATATATATATATATATATATATATATATATATATATATATATATATATATATATATATATATATATATATATATATATATGGTGGGGTGAAATTCAATGGATCCGGTGGAAAATGCGGTAGAAAAAGAGGTCGACAAACGTGCGAAAAAAACACTAGTTTTACTAACGTTTCGGCAGGTGGGCCTGCCTTCGTCGGAGTGAATGGTTCGCTCCGACGCAGGCAGGCCCACCTGCCGAAATGTTAGTAAAACTAGTGTTTTTTCGCACGTTTGTCGACCTCTTTTTCTACCGTATATATATATATATATATTACCAGTCAGTAAGTCTAATCACGGAATGGTGAGGCAGAAAAAGACGCGAAGCATTCTTAATCAGAATTTTTTATCTACAGCAAATATGAAGTCACATGCTGCAAACATTGAGTGCAAGGGTGGTTCGCTTTCTAGTGTGGTGGTTTAATACTGCACATGCATGCACTCCATGCGCTGCTGCTCGACTCGATCCACTGACAGCTGCAATATCAGCGCTGCTTCTCACCGTGCAACTCTTTTATATCGTAAGCAGCGCAGAATTGAGCGAGGTGGGATGACTTACTTAAAATTTGAGGACTGGTGCACATACAATAATACGTGTAGGAAAGTGATTGACTACATACTTCATTTCAGCTTCAATCCTTTACTTCTAGGCTGGTCCACATGACTGTTTTTCTTACTTTTAAATACGATTTAAAATGTAAGACCTACCAAGAATGTGAAAAACATGCTGAAATGTGTGAGTACATTTCATTGTCTCTATTAGGACCTAATCACACTTTCTGGCCAGTTCTTTTAATGTACCGTATTTACTCGCATAATCGGCGCACTCGCATAATAGGCTCACCCCTAGTTTGGTCGCGCAAAATTCGATTTTTTTTTTAA